TGGATCGGCGTTCGTAGATCGACTGGTAGAGACTGTTTTTCAAAGATGGCTTCTGCCTGTATACGCGAAGTTGACTGTATGTATAAAATATCTTCTTATTAAACTGTCTGGACACTGACAAAGTTCTCAATGCTTCGGTTTGAAGGTAGGGACTAGGGCTGTAACTTTTTATTCGATATTCGAATATGCATTCGAACATGACGTGAAATGTCCGTAATCGAACTATAAATAAACTAACCGGTTTTTAAAGTGCCATGTTTAGCGCATTTTTTACAGTCTATGATTAGACCGTTTGTTTTTTATTTTATTGTTTGCCATCTCATCCAGTAGCGGGCACTCTAAACGTATTGTAGCGTAAGCTCATGACCAAATCAAGCGAATAATAGCCTATAGCCACCCTGTTTTGAAAATGGAAGATATATATATAACGCACAGAACGGCCAGCCTGAGCGGACAATTTCTACCCCAACTCATCTAAAAAGTAGTGTCTGGAAATGGACAATCCGATTGATGAATCCGAACACGGTGTTTACATGAACGATACATAAAGTAATGTGCGCGTTATATGTCACAAGATTCAAATCGGAATTGATTTTTTTGACATGCGCACACTGCACGAATATGCCACTGTTCGCGCATAACTATTCACCTCTATTGGTTCTTTATTTGTTTTAAACAGCAGACTTAATATTTATCCGTCTCTGGTCATGATTTGGAGACGATGAACATGATTTGCCGTGCTGCTTGTTGATCACGCAGTAAAACCCTGCGCCCAAAACCAGTCATCTGTGGATGAGAATCTGAAACAAGCACTGGTGGGACGTTGTCCTGCTTCACTTCACAGTGAAATGAGATTTTTTTTAATAACCGAACACTCATTTATTCAACAGGAAGAACAGCTCGCTCCGTGCGTAATACGTCATTGCACATGCGCAGTCCTTTTAGTTTCGGTTTTCAATCCGATCAAGTGTTTACATGTTCTCTCGATCGGATTACAAAAGGAGTAAACCATCGGATCGATTAAGGTGTTTACATGAAGGTTTTTTAGTCCGATTGAGCCGTCAATCCGATTATAAGGGTCCATGTAAAGACGCGCAAATGTGTGCCAGGCACGTGTGCGCGCTCCGAGCGCGTGTTCTCCACCGCGGAGAACATCGTCAATAAAAGGAGAGCCGCACTTGATCCAGATCAAGTTGATAAATTGGTGTTTCTAGCAAACAATATTAGGAAATGAATTAGGCTAGGCTATATAGGCCTTACTCCTGCTGCTGTTTAAGTTGTCACGTTATTGTTTGTGTCGTGCTGTTCCGCTTCAGTTTTTTCCCATGTAGCGCCTAATTTTGTGATTGGCTATGCTGCCCTACAAAGGCAAAGTGCAGTAACTACATATTTGGTCAAAATTGAGTTTAGACTGAAAATGGGCTTCATAACACCTCCTTTGTCTTGTGACAAAAGCTCTTGGTCCAACTGGGTCCCGTTTTAGAGAAATCACTATGTCAAATTTGCAGTAACTACGAAATCCAACCTAATACCGAGGCTAACCGCAGTAAGTGTAGATACTACGTTCTGCCTGTGTTTACCTGGCTTTGACGCAGATACTGCGGTCTGCTTAGTAGCCCCATCCAAAACATTCCATCACACACACCACAAACACGATAGCTGCTAGAAATAGGCTATATGGTAAAACTGACACAAATATCATGGCACAATCCCGAGGAAAAACCATGGTGGAACTTGCTTTGAAACGCAAGTATCCAAACAACGGTAGGAAGATGGATAACATATGAACAACTAACCAGTCAAATAACATCTAAATCTATTTATTATCATAAGCCGGTTTAATAGCGAGCCGCTAGCATATTAAACCATTTTAGCCTACCTGCTCCCTTGAAGACTGTAACATCTATCCAGTCTGGAAATGCTGTCATAATCCAAATACGATCCCGTCACTGTTCTGTTTCTTGCCTTCATTTCTTCTTAAGCTATTTTCGTTTCAGGCAGCTAGTCCAATTGTTGTGAAGTTAACAAGATTACATTTAGTTAGTCGACTGGAGCAAAGTCACTGTTAGTTTAGCATTCTAGTGCTAGCCGATCTCCTGAGGAGAGCCGTGTAGCACCTGCAGCCGCAAGGACGGTCTTGAATTAAATGTCACTTTATCTTGGTTGTTTACTTCTCATTACAAACGCTACATCACATGGTTTAGGTTAAATATCGCGTTGTTTAATTGATAGCCAATGAAGTTCAAGCTGAAAGTCATGGGTTGCGAAATAACCATCGAGATCAGTCGACTTTTTCCGTTCATATCTTCTACTCTCAATGATTATTCACTTATTTCGTCGTTAATAATTAACGGTTAGATCTAGGCTGGGATTTAATTGGCAAGAGTATTTTTTTCTGTGTAGATAGGCTACGTTTCCAATATGTGCTTTGCAGTTGTCACTGTAGGATAAAATTATAATAAATTAAATGTCACTGACAGCCAGAGGGGCGGGTCTCAAGTCACTGACCGTGACCCAGGGCACACGATCTCATGCAACAACATAACTTTTTTCTCATGCAAACGCATAGGCTAAGTTTACTTTTTCTGATATATTGATATAATAAAATTTAATGAATGAATTTTCTATTAAAATGAAAATCCACAAACCAAAATACCATTGATTGTGTGTAGAATGTTAAGGATGTTTGGAAAAATGACAATGTTGATGACAAAAAAATGTTTAGGACTGCGATGTGACAGGGACATTAGGACAAAAAATAATTATTGAAGTTCACAAGCAATTTCAATACTCTCAACCTATTATAAACATCTATAAACAAACCACAAAACAGATTAAAAGACATAAGGAATACAAAAATGTGGAAGTCTGAACACATCTAAATTGTAGATACTGCACTTTGCTTTTGTAATAGTGCTCTAGTTGATCAAGGTAATTCAAAGGCAGAGTGCAGTATCTACATTTTTGGGGTCAAAGGTCATATCATTGGTCTTTTTTTATATATATATAATTTTCCTTCCTAAAAAGGTATTAATTGAAAGTATCAACACTATTGGACCTGCTACATGTTGGACTGGCCAGTATGAAAACTTTAGAGGCATTTTTCTCAGTTTCAATGGTGGCGTAGTTACTGCACCTAGCCTTTGTAGGGCAGTATGCATACTCGCACTTCATATACGGTAGATTAAGTTGAAAACCTGCTGTTTAAAACATTAAGTAAAAAAAAAATGTTTCGGACAGGCCTGAGTCCTGTTTATGACTGTTAATAAATGTGTGATCTCAGTTACGGTGTTTTTTTTGTTTTGTTTTTGGTGGGTGGGCGGGGCTCGTAGATATTCGAATATTTTCAAATACATTGCTTGATATTCGATATCCGTTCGAATTTGATTTTTCTCAAAAGTGACAGCCCTAGTAGGGACCCTCATTATGCTACCGTGCTAGTGTGGGGCTATTTTGAGCCTTGTTAGTGGTATTAACAAGTGATTTTTATTTGTCATTACTCTATGCCCAATATACTAGCGTTATACTAGCTTTATAGGCTAAACTGTTTTTAGAGATAAAACTATTTACATTCGATAATCATGAAAACATATCTCAGATAACGGTTGACTAGGTAACAATGTGTAATTAGACCAAAGGTTCATTTTGCGCCGGAGTTCTCCTTTAAAGTGGCCGACGGGTCCTTAACTCTTGTGGGTCGCCACCACTCGCCGTACTCGTCCTTAGTGGTGCTATCTCTGACTCGCTCACTGGACCGTCGTCGACCTGACAAAAAAACTGCATACATACGCGGAGCACGCCTAAGCGGGGCTACAGATTATGTGTCCCTAAAGAACCCGCGTATCTAACAGTAGTTCCGCATTACATTACATTAATTTGCACGCGAGTTTTATTTATTTTCATACCGTGTATTCTCCGTGTAAATTCATGCACCGAACCGTGACGCCCGTACCGTTTCGGTTCAATACGAATACATGTACCGTTCCACCCCATAGGCCTATATATAAACAACATCATGGAAACATTTTCTGAAAAAATAGCAGAGGTAAAGGGAAATGAATTTATTTAATGTGGTAGAATTGGTCAAAGTTTGCTCGTAGCTTTACAAAAGTTGTTTCTGTAGCAGTCAGTATAGTTTTACAAAATATGCGTACACAAATATACCAGTCAATGTAGAATTATCTAAAACAGTCATAATAGTATAACATAATACTGATTTAATTAAAGGGATACTCCACCGTTTTTTCATATTAAACTGTTATTCCCTTAACTAAGACGAGTTGATGCATACCTCTCTCGTCTCAGTGCGTGCACTAAATCGCTCTGTCTTGCAGCGAAACTTTGTTAGCACTTAGCTTAGTCCAGTTCATTCATTAGGATCCAAACAGAGAAGCGACCAAACACCTCCACGTTTTCCCTATTTAAATACAGTTACACGAGTAGTGTAACTCGACCAAGAATGGTGACACAAAATTAAACGTTACGCTTTTCTAAGCGTGTAAAATGGATAACTATAATGTATGGTGGAATACCATAGCAAGTGCTTGGGAGCACTTCGACTCGGCGTAGTAATATCATCACGGGGTCGGGGACTCGGGGAGAGGATTTTTCAGGAGTGATGATATTACTGCGCCGAGTCGAAGTACTCCCAAGCACTTGCTATGGTATTCCGCCATATATTATAGTTATCCATTTTACATGCTTAGAGGTATGTATCAACTCGTCTTAGTTAAGGGAATAACAGTTTAATAGGAAAAAACGGTGGAGTATCCCTTTAAACAGACATATCCTAATAGGGCACCTGCCTATTTGATTATGTGTGTGATTCAGTATTCAAACACAATGTTAATGTGCAAAATCATTACTTTACTGGCAATTCATTTGGGAATAAACTGATTATAAATACAATTAATTTTCAAGCTGAATTGGGTATTTAAGTTGTCAAATGGTTTAAAGGCAATTCTGGAGTAATAATCAACATAAATTAGTGTACTAATTCTCCTGCATGGTACAATAAAACAGCACAATAGGCAATAAAAATACCAGATTATCCAGTGTAGCGTAATACATAAATATCACTGTGGTGTATGTGATATGTCCTAAATAACCTATTGGTCAGACAAGACCCTACAAAATAGCCATTATTCAGTGTTTACATGTACAGTCATATCAGTATAACAGAATTTCAAATACCTCAGCCATTGAGGAGAGTGTAACATTATGTTCAAATCCCTGTCTGAACCCATTCTTGAGTCACCCTTCATGGAGTGGAATCGCTTATGGCGTCTGTGACATTGACGTGTATAAAGATATAGCAGTGCAAATTGAATAAGTGGCCACGGTTCTAAAACACCACAGGTGATATGCATGGACTTTATGTCAGTCACATTAGGTTCTTCACAGCATTGGAAGATGAATATTTTGAAATGACAGTGTTGCATCTCTTTCTCAGGTGGACTGAGGCAGAGACATTTCAGAGATTGTTTTTTTGGATGTACGACAGAAATAGGTATCAACAGGCATTGGTTCAGTTGATTTTATTATTTGGATTTAGTATTGTTTTCTCCCTGCTGTCAATCAGAACAGACTTTTGTCGTGAGAGAACTACTACAGATACTGTACAGACACAGTCACACATACATGCAAAGAGAAAAAAAGGATAGAGGTCAGTGCTCTGCAGGAACCACCTGTAGGATGATCTGTAGTGATCTGTTCACAGAGTCTGAAAAACACAAGGGAAACAAACATTAATATGTTTTTAGCATATGTTTTATGATATTACCATATTCTAGATGATATGATATGGAATACATTTCCATATGTTCCATTGTGTGTGCATATTAAGGTTCTTTTTATTAATTTACAGAAAATATATTTCCAAGAGTTTAACACCAGTCATATAATAATAAAAAAATGGCATGTCAGAGTCATCATAATAATCATTCATGTGTAACTAGACAAAAAATGACTTTCACACAAAATCAGAAGTTTTACACTGTTGCCTTTTGCCATTTGCATTTATGTAACCTCTGACCTGAGAATTTCTGGAACCATTTGGGTTTTCTTTCGGTGTAGATGAATATGTAGTATGCAGGGATGCCAGTGAGAGAGATGGCAAAGCCAATCCCAGTATTAATTGGATCCGAATATAGAGAAAGGAATACCATGGAGAAACAGGTGAAGGAGAAAACAGCAGGGATTATAATGGGGACCTGTGAAAGAGAAAAATACAGAGATAAAGAGATATTAACCCTCAGACGGTCTTCCTTTCGGAGTCACATCCTGGGCCTACCCGGTCAAAAGTGACCGGAGACCTAAAAATGAAACTTCCTCCATCCCAGTAAAACCAATCCAATTTATTTTTGTTCTATAATATTTATTCTTTTTAATTTTGCATTTTTAGAGAATTTGATTGAATTTATTAATATTTATGCAATATTTATGGTCTTTTTTTGCCATTGAAATTTATATATATATATATATATATATATATATATATATATATATTACTTTAGTTTAATAAATATATATATATATATATATATATATATATATATTACTTTAGTTTAATATAGAGTCTAGGCCTTCAAAAAATGTTTTAAGCAGATTAGCACCATCTGGTGGGAGTATGGAGAGAAAGAGTAAGACCATGGTGTAACCACTAGATGGCATCTACAGCTCTCTATGGAGAGGCATGTGAATTCCCCAGCTGTTTATGGACACATTTACTTTTTTTTTTTTTTTTTTTTGGATTTGAATACATATTTAAACAATCTCAAAAGCTATTTTTGATCAAGTTTTAGATATATATTTTTTTAGAAATAGTGATTTAAAATGTTAGTTTTTGCATTATGATTACAGTCAAACCTAAACATTGTGTTAGAAAGAGAAGCTTGTGTTGACAAGAAGCAAATTTTATACCCATTTTTTTTATTCAGAATTTGTAACAAAAAATGATTCATTATTATAAATTATTCAAGCAATTAATTCAATTATAACACTATGTAAAATAATATTTAATGAACATGTCTATATAACGAACATTTGTGTAAGTCACTGAACGTAACAAAACAGTGAACAGTATAAAAGAAAACAGCAATAATGAACAAGCTAAAGAAAGATGAAAAATAGAAACTACTATATTAAAAAAAAATTTTGAAAAAAAAATTTCAAAAACACAAAAATTTGTGTTTTGTCAATTTCCCATTCATTTCCTATGGGGATCATTTTTGACTGAAGACCACAAGTGTGACAATTTTTTTACGACCACTTCATGACCTCAATTATACTAACTAATATGCAAATTCAAGTTTCACCCGAAACATTTAGATTCAACATTTAGATTTAACATTTAGATTCAACATTTAGATTTAACATTTAGATTTAACATTTAGATTCAACATTTAGATTTAACATTTAGATTCAACATTTACATTTAGATTTAACATTTAGATTCAACATTTACATTTAGATTTAACATTTAGATTTAGATTTAACATTTGGATTTAGATTTAACATTTAGATTTAGATTTAACATTTAGATTTAGATTTAACATTTAGATTTAGATTTAACATTTTAGATTTGACATTTAGATTTGACATTTAGATTTAGATTTAACATTTAACATTTAGGTGTAACATTTAATATTTAGATTTAACTATTTAAAATATCTCTAAGTTGACAAATATTGTTGTAAATGTGCTAAAAAGTGACAGTTTTTTAAACATTGTTTGAAGCTAAATGTGACAAAATTTTGCTGTTATTTTCAGCGTGAGCCGCTTAACAAACGGCGTCTCATACAATTAGCAGCATGTTGAAATGATGTGCCAAAATGCGTTTTCTGTTAGGCTACAATGAAAATATTGTATAGTAGCCTATCAGATAGGTTTGCCGAAGTGCGTTTAATTTAGGCTATTTATTTATTTTTGTCCCTGTGCGCCGATCGGAGACGGAGTTCACTGCTGATATTCTGAGAGCTTTCTAGTCTCGCGGCTGTCATCAGCAGCGCCTTGTATCGCCCAATCAGCGGATGGCGGGCGGGTGCGGTTTTGAAAATTGGTCAAAAACTGTTGGTGAGGATGGATGGCGGACGGATGATGAGTTTTGTGATGCGGTGGCGAATGAAATAATAGCCCATCCACGCATCTCTAACGCAGTGGGATTCGATTTATAGATGACTCGTTTCTGAGTTAATTCGTTCTTTTGGGAGACAATATATTTATTGTGCACTTTCGACTTTAGAAGTTTTCAGAACGTTTAAATTCACATACAGCTATACACTGCATGAAAGGAATATTCGAAAAACCATAATAGGGACACTTTAAACGACATGTTTTGACCACTGTCAGCCATATCTGTAAAATCTTCAATTTCCTATCTAAAAGGATCCATGGCCATATCATGAATTTAAATTTCATGTTTATACCCAACCCAACCTGTTCTAGTTTGTTTAGCTATACTTTTTCATCACAACAAATTAAAATACTTAGATAAGACATAAAAGAGAGCGGTTACTCATGGATCAAAAAATGTCTTGATTTTGATTTTGAAATTATTTTGTTCATGGTTATTTCACAGTATATTTGACACTTAGTAACTACCAGTTGACCAATCCCAGAAAAAGGCCCCCTGAAGAAATTTAAGATTAAGTGGACAACATAACAAAGTGACAGAGTACAATTGAGATCTCAATAGCTTTCCAACTCTTGCCTCTCCTCTGCTAACATGCACCTTAGAATTAAATCTACCGTGCTTTCTTAACCTCTAGATATTTAACTAATAATTTGCATTAGAGATGCATTAGACATGAGGTAACAGGCTGCCAGAACAGAAAAGAGGGTCACCTTAAAAGGTCGTGGCATATCAGGGCGTGTGTATCGCATGTAGATGAGGCCGACCACTGCCACCCCGATAAAGAACCAGCGTAGGAAGCTCATGAAGTTCAGCAGGCTGTAGATGTCCCCTAGAAAGAGGATCAGTAGTGTGATCGGATACTGAAAGAAAGACGAGCACTTTTAGAAAGGCGTGTAGGCATGAAAATGACTGATATAGTAAATTAAAAGTTAATTGAATTTAAGGTTAATAGACATTATATTTTAATAAAGGTTAATAAACATTATATTTTATATACAGTGTGTGTATATATATATATATATATATATATTTTTTTTTTTATATATATTTTGTATTTGTACAAGTTATTATTATTAGTATATATTTTTTCCTTTTAGGAACATATACAATAGTCAGTTTCATAAGTAATATGTTTTTATTTCGAAGCTTTCAAAATAGCTCAAACGGTTTTGTTCAGCTGAACAGGAGTATCAGTAAGGGTGACCGTTGAGTGGGACATGTGTGTGTCTATGACTCACCAGGACAATCACAGCAGGTAATGGCGTGTGTCGGCGTATGTGAATCATAGAAAGAACTTCAGGAAGCTGACCTTCTCGGGAGGCGACATGGAACATTCTGTGGAAGAGAAACAAAATGTAAAACGTTTAAAACATCCACTGTAGAAATACGAACCAAGACATACTATAGTCGATGGTCTGAAACTTTGGATTTGAAAGGATTTGAAACTAAAGACTAAAAATGTGTCAAAGCCTAAAACAATTAACTGTGTGACCAACAATTGTTGGGTCATTTGAAAAATAATATAAAATTCATGTACTTGGTGTAATTTTCAACACCCTCTCATGGCAATTCTTAAAGGGTTAGTTCACCCAAAAATGAAGATTCTGTCGTTAATTACTCACCCTCATGTCGTTCCAAACCCGTAAGACCTTTTTTTCCCATCTTCGGAACACAAATTAAGATATTTTTGGTGGAGTCAGACAGCTTTCAGTTCCTCCATTGGGAGCAATGCAATTTACACATTCAAGGTCCAAAACGGTAGGAAAGACATCATTAAAGTAATCCATGTGATGTGACTCCAGTGGTTTAACTTCAAATTTATGAAGCGACACAAGTGCTTTGTTTGTGTAAAAAAAACATAATTTACCCCTGTATTTACAAAATAATATTATCCAAAGCGCATTCACTGAACAACTTCCGGTCTTGAGTCAACACAACACGCATGCGTTGTGGTGCTGCCCCTACTGGATTGCAGGTCAATATTTTTGTAAAGAAAGTGGTCAATTATGTTTTTTTTTGTACAAACAAAGCACTCGCGTCGCTTCATAAAATTAAGGTTAAACCATTAGTCACATGTATTACTTTAATAATGTCTTTCCTATCGTTCTGGACCTTGAATGTGTAAATTGCGTCGCTCCCAATGGAGGGACAGAAAGCTCTCAGATTTCATCAAAAATATCTTCATATGTGTTCCGACAACACATTCTCATCCCAAGGCGTCATCTAACTGACACTTTTGACCATGTGTCAACATGCCGACGCACATGGTACCCCTTAAGCGTCAATATGAGACGCTCATCCTCGGTCGTCATCTAAGGCCTCGTTTACAATGTCAGTGAAATGTGACCCAATTCCGATTTTTTACTCGTATGCGACACAGATCGGATGTGTTCTATGACAGTGTAAACAGAAAAAAAAACGCATGCATTCGGATATTTCGAGATCGGTTTCAGGCCTCGTTCATATGTGGAAATAAATCAGATATAAATCAGATATGTGCCAATGCGATTGTCATGTAAACAGGCAGATCTGATTTTCTGAGGCATTAGGCTGCGTCTCCGCGGTTTAATGACGAGAGAAACCCCGACGCGCATCTGCGGATGGACGGATGGCCAGACGAAACATTGTGTCGTCATAGGAGAGGAATGTGGACACACGTTGACAACATATCAAAGGTTGGCTTGCTCATCCTAAAATTTCAGACCCACTGCTCCTCGTTAAAGCCCGCCACGATCTCATGAAAGTGCGTATATTGCACTTTTTTTTTTCAGTGCCATTTACGCCAAAAATAGTTTTTTCGTGCATGATACGCACTTTATGGCGTTCAATACGCACGTTTACAGTATCATATGCAAGCAAAAACTATTTTTGGCGTAGCCTATAAATGGCACGAGAAATAAAATTCGTGCTATATTCACTTTCATGAGATCGTGTTGTATGTTCCCACCTGTCCTGAGATCTCGCTGCGCGTTCGTCCATCTGAGCAAGAAGACCCCTTTAAACATGCGCGATGTTTCAGTCAAGTGTAAACGCATGACTCGGATATGGGTCACAATTTAAAGAACGTGTAAACGGACGGTCCAAAAAAATCGGATATAGGCAACACATCAGAATTGGGCATCAAGACCTGCAGTGTAAACGAGGCCTAACTGACGCTTTTGACCATGCGTCTAAATCCGACGCACATGGCACCCTTTAGCGTCAGTTAGATGACGCTTCCGTTATGGGTAGGTTTGGGTCTGGGGTAGGGTTAGGGTTAGACCACTAGGAGGCGCGTCTCATATTGACGCTTAAGGGGTGTCATGTGCGTCGGCATGTTGACGCATGCTCAAAAGCGTCAGTTAGATGACGCCTTGGGATGAGAACGGGCTGGTTCCGAAGATTAATGTATGTCTTTCGGGTTTGAAATGACATGAGGGTGAGTAATTAATGACAGAATATTAATTTTGGGGTGAACTAACCCTTAAAGTATTTTACATTTAGGTGAATTGGTGGCTAATTCGTATGAATTTGTGTGATGTTCCCAAAATAATTAAGATTGTTCCTAGTTTTTCTATAACCTTTATCGCTCTATGTTTGACCCTTGTAAAAAATCTGAGACTCAAAACTGAGATGCACACCTTGAGATGGCAAATATGGCTCCATTCAAGGACCCAAAGCAAGACAGAGCTACAAAAACGGGAACTGCTACTGAGAAGTCTCCCATCAGCTTCCCTGCAAAAGTCTGTTGGGGAGGGCAGATGGATGGATAGAGAGGGAAGAGATGAAAAGAGTGGATGGAAGTGAGAAAGATGAACTAATTTTGTGAAACAAATAGGAAAACAACATTGATCTTCAATTTTTAGACTTGTCTGTGTTTATGAATAATCAGTGAAGTGAAAAGGCTTTATATTTTCCATAAGAGTGAGCTTGTAGAGGGATACGCAAAGTGAAACAGGCTATAAATGAATGCATTACAGACGTCTAACGAGATGAGAAAGCTTTTAGAGTATTTCAGAGCCTAGCAGGAGATCTCTGCGCACAGATTCTGTTGCTGTCAGTTATTTGTGAGAGAGATATGATTACTCCAGCAGAGAAACAGACAGGCATTTAGAGCCACTGGCCTTATGTAATCATATTTACTTTGGGGAGGAGGAAGGTGTTGACTATTACAGGCACTACTGCAAATTGCTTAAACTCGTTTATAAAACGAATCCTTTTCTTTTCTGGCTCTCTTTCTTAAATGTTCCAGTTACTGCTGCTACATGGAAAAACCGATACTAGGATCCTGGATTGTGTTAATTGAGTTTGTTGAATTTAATTGGAATTTGTTAATAAATGAAGAAGTTTTGAGATAGAAGCACAAGCAGACAGGGAGTGACCCACCACAGCTACGGCATTGGAGGCTAACAGCTCTTCTGCTGACATCACGGTGTAATATGCCACGTTTATCAGTGTGTAACAGATCATTACTATCCCCATGGAGATGCAGATGGCAAGAGGCACTGTCCTGGGAAATGGAAATTAACACCTAAGTCATCACTGCCTTTTGGTTTGCCACGCTAGAAACAGCTGAATTAAACATCAAACCATACAGAAATCATATTTGTTATATCACTAACCTCTCAGGATTCTCCACCTCCTCAGTCACAAAATTCAAGTAAAACCTGTAAGAGGCCAAAAATGTATTCAAACACTGCATGCGGCACTATTGGATTTGTGTGGAATTAGAAGGGGGGCTCACCAGCCGGCATAGGCGTACATTCCTGAGTAGAAGGCAAGAGGAAGTCCTGATAAGTCTACTGTGTTGACCTCAAATGCATTCTCAAAGTTTTTGGTCTCCCCTGCAGATGTAACCAGTGTTAAATTATTAGCATTGTGAGAAGCTTAGACAGCCTGATGTTCTCTGTAATTTTAGTTTTCCCTGAGCCAAACCTATTTCTGTTAAGTGGATCCTTAATTTTTATTATTAATCAAAATTAATGGTTGTCAGTGGCAGATGTAGGCATGGGCAACGTGGGCTACTGCCCATGACGGCATCTTGACGGGGGCGGCAAAAAAAAAAAAAGGAATGCGTGATCAGGGTCTTACCACTCATTTGCACCATGTCAATGATATGATGCCACCGTGTGGGTCAATTAACCTGGTCAGGACTCGGAGTGTGCACACGGAGAAGTAGGCTACTTTCACTCAAGCAAGTAGGAGCAAGGTTTGTTTACCTCTCCTCGGGGCTTCCAGTGGGGAAACCTGAGGTGACGTCAGTAGGGAGAGCTGGGCTTAAATAAAAAAAAAAAATGAGATTCCCTCGCAACGCTAACTTGCCTCTGTCTCGTTCACTCGGATGTACATCATTGCTTATGTTGCACGAGTGCCCACTACAGGTGGAACCCTTGAAATGTTTTTAAATGGAACGCCCTAAGACCTTGATCACTTGGAATAAAGCTGCTATGGAGCTCATTTATTCTTTTAATTATTTTTTCCTTATGAATTTGTTTATGCACCATTCAGGCCTGTACGTATGCTCGGGCTGTTGAAAATTATAAAATTGTATAAACTATAAAAAAAAAAAAAAATACACATACAAAAATAATAATAAAATAAACTATAACTGTGTTAAAAAACAGTCCGCTTAAGGTTGCTAAGTATTAAATGCTGTTAAACGTCAAAATAATGCCAATATCATTCACTTGAGTTGTGTGGGGTGGGGGTAAAGCTCAATCTGGTTTGACATCACACTCATGGTGCATTGTGGTCTATGGATCTGCCTGAAGTGAACATCTTGGGTGCTTCTCATTTGTAATTTGTGCTTCCTCATTTCCTTTCCTCGCTTCCCTTCCTCACGTCTCAGCTCCACCCCCCTTAAGCCAGGGACACACGGTTTTGAGCAACAGCCGACTTAGTTTTTCTGGTGTGTTCCGGACCGTTGGCTCTAGTCGGATGTTGTCGGGCTTTTGTTTGGATTATTTTTTTTACGGTGTTCCGCACCGTTGGCTCTAGTCGGATGCTGTCAGGCTTTTGTTTATAAAACAATAAAAAAATTATAATGCAAGATCCCCTGTTGTAATATGTGAGATGTATGGTTAATTTAAACTGCAAAGGTAAAGCATAAATGAAAATTATTGTGACAGATGTGAGGGGGAGGAGAATTTAAATGGGCGTCAGGCTTCTAAGAAAGAATTCAGCACCTGTGCATCCTCACTCATAGCTTCTCTGGAAGCTTCCTTGCTTCCTCGGAGCAATTAGAGAATTCAGATGTCCTTCAAGATGGCTAACACTGATCGGTTTCTGGGTCACAGGCTGGAGGAGCGAGGAAATGAGGAAGCATCAATTTGAGTATTGAGAAGTGCCTGTTGAGTAAATTCAGCCCGGGAGGAGGAGCGAGAGAATTTCTAAATCACAGTATGCGGCTATCACTAATACTATGTTAAGTCTATGGTGTACAGAGTTGTGCACCTTTGGTGGATTTATGGTATTTTTTATTTGCCTCAATTTGTATTCATTTAAATATATACATTTATACAAAATAGCCAAAAAAATATATATATATAAAATCGAAAAAGATCTACATTTCTCAATTTCATTCATGGTGATAACATGAAAAATGTGCCATGATTTAGTGGAAGATTGCTGTTATCTACTAGCCTGGCATGCCAGACCTAACGTTACATCAGGATGTTAGGTCTGGGAACTCACCATTGACAGGGCTCAATACGAGGGGCGGGATTAACGGTTGTCTTTCAAATTCCCGGATAGCGCTACAACCAACCAGAGCAACGAAGAAGGTGACACATCTTCCTTTTTTAAAAATGACTCAAGTGCCGTTTTGTTCATGTTTCAAAGAAAAGCTTAACTTTAAATCATCCAGAGCCACGGCCAAAGCTGAATCGAAAGACAGCTGTTCGCCAGCAGCAGCAGCAGCAGCAGCCATTCTTTGTTTTCAAGTAGCAGTGAACCGTCGCATCTCTGTTGTCATTATGTTAAGCCTGCCCTCCGACTCTATACACGATGTGATTGGCCTGACTAGAGTTTGGTTTTTCCAGCTCGAAAGTCAACGGAGAGTTGCTAGACTACACTGGCTGCAAAATAATTTAGCTAGACTACACATTTTGCAGCCGCTAGGGCGAGTCTAGATTTCTAGGCTAGTTATCTACTGGAATACAAACACTTTTAAAATGAAAATGACATGAATTTTCAACTATAGCCACTAGATGGCTGCCGAGGATTACTCAATGGCTCATAGAGGTTGTTTTGTGGGGTGGTTCGCCCAGAACGCCATTCAAGCTACAACCGGCACTGATGGTTGTTCCAACATTATGTGAATTATACAGTATCAATGAAAAATTATATAGTTAATAGTGATATCTGATTAAAACATATACTGCCATTTAAAAGTTTGTTCGTTTTTGAAAGAAGTCTTTTATGCTCACTAAAATGTAATTTATTCCTATGAAGGCTAAGCTGAATTCTCAGCATCAATACTCCAGTCTTCAGTGTCAGAAATCATTCTAATATGCTGATTCAATTTCTTATTATTATCAATGTTAAGCTGCTTAATATTTTAGTGGAAACTGGATTTTCTTCTGGATTCTCTGAGATGAATAGAACGTTTAAAAGAACAGCGTTTATTTGAAATAAATCTTTTGTAAAATTATAAACATCTTTACTGACACTTTTGATAATTTAAAAAAACATATATACAGGTCCTTCTAAAAAAATTAGCATATTGTGATAAAGTTAATTATTTTCCAATGTAATGATAAAAATTAAACTTTCATATATTTTAGATTCATTGCACACCAACGGAAATATTTCAGGTCTTTTATTGTTTTAATACTGATGATTTTGGCATACAGCTCATGAAAACCCAAAATTCCTGTCTCAAAAAATTAGCATATTTCATCCGACCAATAAAATAAGTGTTTTTAATACAAACAAAAAAAGTCAACCTTCAAATAATTATGTTCAGTTATGCAATCAATAGTCAATACTTGGTCGGGAATCCTTTTGCAGAAATGACTGCTTCAATGCGGCGTGGCATGGAGGCAATCAGCCTGTGGCACTGCTGAGGTGTTATGGAGGCCCAGGATGCTTCGATGGCGGCCTTAAGGCCAATTTATACTTCTGCGTCGGGTGCGCGCAGTAGGTACGGCGTAGCATACGCACAGACGCGTACCATACGCCGTACCCTTCGCCGTAACCTGACGCGCACCTCCTCAAAAATGTAACTACACGTCGCGACGATGCGGACCGCAAGATCTGTGATTGGTCGGCTTGGTAGCATCGCGTTTCCTCCTATGCATTTCCGGCGTGTTCTTCTGCACCGCCCGCCATTTTTCAATTCTAAGTACAGCGAAACTCTTAAAAAAACTAAAAATTTACCTTTTCCACCTCGATAAGCTCCAACTCCAACATGATCTGCTCTCTTTCAGTCGCCATTGCTAGTAGTAACCTAAACTCAAAACAGCCGCGAGGAATCTTCTTCTTCTTGCCGCGAGGAATCTAAACACAGTGGAACATTAAAACCCTCCGCCGCCAACTAGCGTTTCGGCGCTGTACTGCAGAGCAACGCAGACCTAAACGCAGAAGTATAAATGCTCATGACGGCGTCGCCTACGTGCGTAGCCTACGCCGTACACTACGGCGTACACTCGACGCAGAAGTATAAATTGGCCTTTAAGCTCATCCAGAGTGTTGGGTCTTGCGTCTCTCAACTTTCTCTTCACAATATCCCACAGATTCTCTATGGGGTTCAGGTCAGGAGAGTTGGCAGGCCAATTGAGCACAGTAATACCATGGTCAGTAAACCATTTACCAGTGGTTTTGGCACTGTAAGCAGGTGCCAGGTTGTGCTGAAAAATGAAATCTTCATCTCCATAAAGCTTTTCAGCAGATGGAAGCATGAAGTGCTCCAAAATCTCCTGATAGCTAGCTGCATTGACCCTGCCTTTGATAAAACACAGTGCACCAACACCAGCAGCTGACATGGCACCCCAGACCATCACTGACTGTGGGTACTTGACACTGGACTTCAGGCATTTTGGCATTTCCTTCTCCCCAGTCTTCCTCCAGACTCTGGCACCTTGATTTCCGAATGACATGCAAAACTGAGCAACAGTCCAGTCCTGCTTCTCTGTAGCCCAGGTCAGGCGCTTCTGCCGCTGTTTCTGGTTCAAAAGTGGCTTGACCTGGGGAATGCGGCACCTGTAGCCCATTTCCTGCACACGCCTGTGCACGGTGGCTCTGGATGTTTCTACTCCAGACTCAGTCCACTGCTTCCGCAGGTCCCCCAAGCTCTGGAATCGGTCCTTCTCCACAATCTTCCTCAGGGTCCGGTCACCTCTTCTCGTTGTGCAGCGTTTTTTGCCACACTTTTTCCTTCCCACAGACTTCCCACTGAGGTGCCTTGATACAGCACTCTGGGAACAGCCTATTTGTTCAGAAATGTCTTTCTGTCTTACCCTCTTGCTTGAGGGTGTCAATGATGGCCTTCTGGACAGCAGTCAAGTCGGCAGTCTTACCCATGATTGCGGTTTTGAGTAATGAAACAGGCTGGGAGTTTTTAAAAGCCTCAGGAATCTTTTGCAGGTGTTTAGAGTTAATTAGTTGATTCAGATGATTAGGTTAATAGCTCGTTTAGAGACCCTTTTCATGATATGCTAATTTTTTGAGACAGGAATTTTGGGTTTTCATGAGCTGTATGCCAAAATCATCAGTATTAAAACAATAAAAGACATGAAATATTTCAGTTGGTGTGCAATGAATCTAAAATATATGAAATAGTGCTGTCAAACGATTAAAATATTTAATCGCGATTAATCACATTAATGTCATAGTTAACTCGCGATTAATCGCACATTTTTATCTATTCTAAATGTCTCTTGATTTCTTTTTGTCCCATTATTTTTTTCTCATTTTAATGCTCTTATCAACATGGAAAAGTGGATCGGCTTGCTTTGTGCAAATGTTTTTTATTGAAAACAATATTGGCATATACTGTTCAATTTCACACTAAAACATTATCACTTGGAGCAAATAATCTCTCACACAATATAACACTGTCCATCAATAAAAGGGTGAAATAAATACTGACGAGGTCCTGATATTGACGAGGGGGCGGAGAATTCGCATCAGCTGTGTGTGTGTGTGTGCTGGCCATCATCAAGTGGTATTCAGACTGGACGTGCTGCGATGATGATAGCTCAGTTCACAACGACAAAACACACAGATCACTTTGGTCTTGTCAATGGAACCATTTGGCAACTTTTTAAAAGTAAACTTTCCATTCAGAATCTTATTGGCATCCATTTCGACGTCTCACGCTCGTCATCCACTCAAAACTGGACGTTTTGAACGTTCCTATAACATTCAGAAATAACGTTTTTATAACTTAATGGGAACGTTATGAAAACATTCTTATAACCTAAATTTGTTAGCTGGGAAAGAGGAGAGATTCGCGATTGCACTGAACACGTTTTTAAGTGCAGGCATATTCTCTGAGTGAGCCCAGAGAAAATTCTTACAAGAGCAGCGTGTATCTGAGAGCGCGCGCGACTCGAGCAGAGAGATTCCTGCTCGGCACATTATATTCCGCGCGCGAGCAGAGAGATTCGCGCTCGCGCATCCGGCTCGCAAGCCCAAACAAGTGTGTGCGGCGTGCCTGTTGTTTTGTTTCCGGTCTAGCTAGATCCGCTTGCGCTTTCAAAACGTCCTCGCGCGCCGCAAGCCATTGAAATGAATGGGTGTCATAGCGCAGCGGCCCGCATGCCGTCCTGTTACAAAAGCATGTGAAAAAAAAACTACAAAGTTTGCTAGGCCAAAAAGACCGTTAATCGCGCGATAAAAAAATTAACGCCGTTAAAATGGGTTTGCGTTAACGCCGTTAATAACGCGTTTAACTGACAGCCCTAATATGAAAGTTTAATTTTTATCATTACATTATGGAAAATAATGAACTTTATCACAATATGCTAATTTTTTGAGAAGGACCTGTATATATGTATATATATATATATATATTTTGCATTTCGTGCATTTAACTCTTATCCAAGAAGCCAGAAGCATAATATAAACTAAATACCTTTGAAGAGTAGGTATAATCCTGGAACAATGATAATGGCGAAGGCGAGCATCTTGATGAATGTGAGGAAGATCTGGATTCTGGCAGTCCAGCTTACACTCATGCTGTTTAGATACATTCCCATGGCTGCAATGAAAATGAATATGCAATATCTCAAAATTATTATGGCACATATAAACTAGGCCATAAAGATGGTATGTACATACTGTAATCAAGCAGCCTAAATACTTAGCCAAAAAGCTTACTGAATCCGATTGCTGTGGCCAATTTAACGGCAGTCTCAGGAACTCCACATGGCATGAAGATGGGCTCTAAAATATAGCGGCCAAATGCCAGAGCGGACACAGCAAAACCTGCAGGTCTTCAAGATGAGAAAATTAACTATGAGCACTCAGTGTACTGTACTGGACATCATGTAATCTCTCATAAAACACTGTTCCAAAGTAAGGTAGAACAATCTATGTGATAAATCATGAGTGTAATAGAACCTCTTATCTTGCATTTTTCTGTTATAATCAGTGAACCAGTTCACTTGTACATGAACATGTTTTGTGCTCTCCTTCACGTGAAGCTTGTTTGCTTTCAAACTACATCTACAGATGTTACTCTTGGCGGTGTTGTGATTGTTACATATGAACCTGGACTGAATCCAGCCCTTGATCCTTTGCATGAGAACCTCCACAATGGCTTGTTCATTGTCATAAGGCACTTTATCTCTGGTTTTTATTCCATGCCGACTGGAGCCCAGCAGTAATATTGAGAGTTTGCCTTGAACATCAGGCAGAGTTTGCTTGTGTTTATTTGAGGCGTTGAAGGGATTTTGTTAGTTTATTCTGGCAGTGCCCCAGAGACCTGTCAATGAAGACGGAGGATGAATAAGGATTTACTGACCTTATGCCAATCATGTCAGCCCACAATCCCACAAAAGCCACTTGCGGACCAAATGCCTCCAGAATGTACGTGTAATGGCCACCAGACTTTTTAATACAGGTACCCAGCTCAGCATATGATAGAGCACCTGAAAAGGACAAAAGGGAAGAACTAGGTGAATACCTTTGTACTTTAGCAAAATTAGGTAACAGTAGCTGGACAAAGGCAAGTCGTGGAGAGCGAGTGCCATAATTATTCAGAAAGGTGGCAAGATTTACACAACACCTGCAAAGCAACCCTAATGGCACATGGTCAAGTGAGTTCATTAAGATCATCTGTTCTCTCTCAGAGATTGCAGTTACACAAGCTCTTTATAGTTCTGTGCATTTTAATATTTTAATGAATAATCTGTTCAAATCAAAGCCCTGCTTCACTCGCAGCCCTTGACTTGTGAGCTTCAAAAGGTAAATGTAAAGAGAGCTGAGAGCTCTAAAAAACAAGGCCCACCAGGAGAGTTCAGAATGCAGATTTCAATTGAGAGAAATTGTGGATGAATGGACAGGTTTTTTTTTTTTTAATGGGCAGTTCAGCTTTTCTTCAAAGCATGTGGGCTGCAGCACACAAAAGAAAGCTGACAAGTGGGAAATGACTCCTGGCATACACATGAATAAACAAACTGTCAAACAATGCTCTTCTTGCACACAAACTAATTCTTCTTCGACACATACACAAAGCCATCAACCTCCACATTGTCAGACCGCGCTCTCCTCACCATCAAAGTGCGGCATAAGACAATATCAGCCTCTATTGTGCATGAACACACCCATTAAGCATAGGAGGGGCCCTCTGATCAGGTTCTTCATGCATAGCCTGAAATTCTTGCTTGCCGACTATCAGTAAAACCTGAACTTCTTTTTAATGTATAATGAATTACTGTTAAAAATAGTGTTTATATCGGAGCTTATAGTGGAGTTCGAGAAACATTTGGGTTCTTGAGTTGATGAAAAGCCAAATTAGTTAAATCATGAAAGTATGTAATAAAAAAAATATTTTAAAATAAAAACAATCAAAATAAAACACTTATTTAGAAAATGGGAAAAACTATTTACTAGTTTCTTATTAGCATGCCTATTACTAGGATGTTGGCTGTTTATTAGTACTTATAAAGCACATAATAATGGCTTATTCTGCATGACCTTATTCTACATCCCTTAATCCAGGGGTGTAACAACTTTTTTTGAATTGGGCCATGTTGTGGACACGCCTGTGGAGATGGATTTCTTCATTATATACAGTGAGGAAAATAAGTATTTGAACATCCTGCTATTTTGCAAGTTCTCCCACTTAGAAATCATGGAGGGGTCTGAAATTGTCATCGTAGGTGCATGTCCACTGTGAGAGACATAATCTAAAAAAAAAATATCCAGAAATCACAATATATGATTTAACTATTTATTTGTATGATACAGCTGCAAATAAGTATTTGAACACCTGTCTATCAGCTAGAATTCTGACCCTGAAAGCTAAGACCTGTTAGGCCCTGTCCACACGGACACGGGTATTTTTATAACCGTGACTTTTTTTACGCGGTTCGACCGTTCGTCCACACGAAAACGCACTGAAACGAACATTTTTGAAAACCCCTGCCAGGGTGAGGATTTTCAGAAACGCCGGTTACAGTGTTGTCGTGTAGACAGTGAAACCGGGGTTTTTGCCTAGCGACGTCAGAGTGTGGGCCGTTATCCGCTGTGTTTGACGTCAGATTTGCGCTTCTGATTGGCCAACGTGGCTTTACGGTTTATATCGCCGCCTGCTGGCGTGGCATGCTCTTGACCCTGCTTGATAGCGTGTTTTTGCGTTTTCATGTAGACGGAGACCGAGCATGTGTGGACGGGATTTTTTTTTTAAAACGCTGTAGGAAAAACTCCGGTTATAAAAATACCCGTCTCCGTGTGGACAAGGCCTTAGTCTGCCTTTAAAATGTCCACCTCCACTCCATTTATTATCCTAAACTAGATGCACCTGTTTGAGGTCGTTAGCTGCATAAAGACACCTGTCCACCCCATACAATCAGTAAGAATCCAACTACTAACATGGCCAAGACCAAAGAGCAAAGACACTAGAGACAAAATTGTACACCTCCACAAGGCTGGAAAGAGCTACGGGGAAATTGCCAAGCAGCTTGGTGAAAAAAGGTCCACTGTTGGAGCAATCATTAGAAAATGGAAGAAGCTAAACATGACTGTCAATCTCCCTTGGACTGGGGCTCCATGCAAGATCTCACCTCGTGGTGATCCTAAGAAAGGTGAGAAATCAGCCCAGAACTACATGGGAGGAGCTGGTCAATGACCTGAAAAGAGCTGGGACCACCGTTTCCAAGGTTACTGTTGATAATACACTAAGACGTCATGGTTTGAAATCATGCATGGCACGGAAGGTTCTCCTGCTTAAACCAGCACATGTCAAGTCCCCGTCTTAAGTTTTCCAATGACCATTTGGATGATCCAGAGGAGTCATGGGAGAAAGTCATGTGGTCAGATGAGACCAAAAAACCTTTTGGTCATAATTCCACTCGCCGTGTTTGGAGGAAGAAGAATGATGAGTACCATCCCAAGAACACCATCCCTACTGTGAAGCATGGGGGTGGTAGCATCATTCTTTGGGGGTGTTTTTCTGCACATGGGACAGGGCGACTGCACTGTATTAAGGAGAGGATGACCGGGGCCATGTATTTTGAGATTTTGGGGAACAACCTCCTTCTCTCAGTTAGAGCATTGAAGATGGGTCGAGGCTGGGTCTTCCAACATGACAATGACCCGAAGCACACAGCCAGGATAACCAAGGAGTGGCTCTGTAGAAGCATATCACGGTTCTGGCGTGGCCTAGCCAGTCTCCAGACCTAAACCCAATAGGGAATCTTTGGAGGGAGCTCAAACTCCGCATTTCTCAGCGACAGCCCAGAAACCTGACTGATCTAGAGAAGATCTGTGTGGAGGAGTGGGCCAAAATCCCTCCTGCAGTGTGTGCAAACCTGGTGAAAAACTACAGGAAACGTTTGACCTCTGTACTTGCAAACAAAGGCTACTGTACCAAATATTAACATTGATTTTCTCAGGTGTTCAAATACTTATTTGCAGCTGTATCATACAAATAAATAGTTAAATCATATATTGTGATTTATTTTTTTCTGGACCCCTCCATGATTTCTAAGTGGGAGAACTTGCAAAATAGCAGGGTGTTCAAATACTTATTTTCCTCACTGTATATTAATAATATTAGCCTACATGTTTGGTCTCTTGAAAATGCACATTTGACAGTAGCTTGAGTTGGGATGCAGATGTAAACTTATTTTCATTAACACAAACCATAACATTTTAGCCTGGCTAACGTCAGACCCAAGTCTCATTGAGAACCACATGTTCATTTTCTCGTATTTGAGGCGTGGTTTACGAATCCCCAGGGCCGTTCATTGGGTGCTAAGAATGTCTATCAAATGCGCCATGCGCCTTTCGGCGTGCATGTTAATCAATGAGTGCATTCACACCGGGAGCAGGAGCAGCGCGTGAGCAGCTGTGAAGAGGGGGTTTCGGTGTCGAATCTGTTTTTGCTCCACTGCTCACGCTAAAATTAAAGTGAAAGCACACTTTTGATGGACTAAAATAAATATGATTTCACACAAAAAGTGCCCAAAATGCACAGAATAAGCATGTCTAATGAGTTTTAACAAGAACCTGAGTAGGCAAATAAAAGAAAATAAAGACTAAAAAATATTTATAGAAGATTTAGGCTACCCGGTAAAAACTTGTTTTTAATTATTCAGTTTGGGTGAAAGTTGTGTATTATATATAACAAAAGCTAAAGTAAACTAGCCAGAAAATATTATATATAAACGTTCTTTTAGTTTATGTAACACACAGACAGCTACATAGGCTAGCACAACCCAAATCAAACCCGAGTGTGTGGTTTATTTGTGTGTTTTGTTTTTTATCTGCGGAGTTGCTGTCTTGTAAACATATCGAAAGTATGACTGAAACTAATAGATTAGAGCCATTTTCTGGGTTGTTTTGTTGTTTAACATTTATATGCGAATGTTGTACACCTCCCCATTACAAACTTTCAAGACTATTATTGTTATAAATGACCAACTTCTAAAAACAAATGTATAGTTGTCTTTGTAAAGAATTGCTTGCTTATATATGTAGCTTTGTAGCCGCTGCTGTGACACTGTACAAACGCTTCCAGTGTGAATACTCTCGCGCGTCTGTAGCTGTAGTGACGATGCAGATACGCTGGCGCGCTGCTCAAGTGCCACTCACGCTTGTGTTGTGAAACGGCCGTAAGGCTGCATCGAAAGGTAACTTTGCGTCTGCTGCCATGTTGGATCCATTGGTATAAACAAACTGCTTCGGTGTTTCGCATAGACGTCGTCATCATCTTGCTGCTCCCTCCCCGTTCTGTGATTGGTTCCCTAGATGAGGTGAAAATTTGGTCCATAGTATCCAGACTACCTAGCAGCGCGAATAAAATCGATAGACGTTTGTATCGGAGACATCTGCGCCAAATTCGAATGCTTCTCACTGGATCTCGCTGCGCTGTTTAGTGATTTTAAAGTGTGACCAAAAGATCAAATATTTTGTTTATCTGCATGTCAGTCACTTAACCATTAAAGCTCCAGTCCGTAACTTTTTTAAGTTAAAAATAATCCAAAATAATTATATTAAAAAAAAACTTATTCTGCCAGTGGTCAAAACTATCTGCTTGCCATAGCTAGATTCAAAACGGTTAGCTTGTAATAATGATTTTAATTCCAGTGGTACTGGTGGGTTTCTGCGGGAGATTCGAGCATGTCTTTGCGTCATGACATCACACCCGTACACATAAAGAAGGAGTTTCGGCTAGCCGGCTATACTGCGCGTGACGAGATGTTTAGATGTATAGGCTTTTCTCGCAGCACTTTACATAATTAAACTTATGGCATCCAGAAAGATCCAAACAACAATCATCAGTGTCAACTGGAGATTCAGCAGTTATAAAACCCAAAAGACTTCGTACTTCGGATTTAAGGTGGCTAGAGAAAGAGAAAGAAACCGTCTCATGCGAACACAAGGATTTAAACATCGGCGGGGCTTTTGAAAAGTGTGTGAACTCCGTGTTTTGAAGGGGTTCAAAACGGAAGAAGAGACGGCCTTTTTCTGCTGAACAAGTAAGACATTTCAATAGTTCAATCGTGTAACAGTACGTTTTCTTAATTCACACAGTTATGGAGTTTCCTTTGTTGTGCCTTTCTCGTTTTGCTATTATGGATAATATGAATTGTGAACTACACAGGTAGCTGCTAACCCATTAAAACACATTAAATTTAACATTAGTCACGCAATGCTGATGTTGTTAACATGAACAGTTTGAGAACAAAGTAGGCTATAATTTGCACGGTTTCTGTAAATCACGTAGATTAAATCTAACGAAGCTTATCATGTCGAATGCTTTTTCCCCCTTAGTTGGTCAGAACAAAAATGGATTTTACTTACTTGTTCAGAAGACATTTTCTTATGAAAATTCTTATGTTGGTCAAACTTTCAAAAAGTGAATCTGTGATTCTGTATGACAGTATCCACACAGCGCTGTGACTGACAGCAGCACTCGCCTCAAAGCACTGTGTTCATCCGCGCTGTTTCATGCCGATTTACAACCCACGTAAAGATAATAATTCCGCGAATCACTGCAGTTACAGATTTCGAACAGAGAGATGGCGACAAAGAGGAAAAGTTCCGGACTGCAGCTTTAACCAACATCCGAGAACTGGGAACATGTAAATGTGTTGTTAAAGTCCTCCTGTAGTCAATAATTTTATCCCTTAAAAACTCATCTTTGATCACCAAAATGACATTTGAAACGTTTTTTCCTGTGAAAAAACTTCTTCCTGCCTTAAAATAGTGTGAATGTTACTCTATACCCTTTAGGGTGACCATATTTTGATTACCAAAAACCAGGATACTCGGCCCGGCAAACAGATACTCAAATGATACTCGAAGTTTACTCAACGATGCCTTATTAATTTCAATACATTTAAAGTAGGCTATGCCTCCTCTGTGTGGATAGAAAATTGTTATATTACAAGAGACAAATTCAGATAGGCTTCTCAGAGGTTACTCAACATGTTTTATTATGACAGGTTTCAAAAATAATGAATGAAATAATGATAGAAATAATGTCTCTTCTGTATTAGAATAATAAATATATAAATAATAAATAACTAAAAGAAATACCTCCAAATTGAACAAAAATAGCTCTCACAAACTTACAAAAACGAACTAACAAAATATATTTATATTTGGGGGAGGGGGGAGAGAGGGGGGCTGGGGGGGGGGGGCATTTGCACACACACGTAAGGTCTCTCGCTCTCTCCCTCTCTGCCGTACGCGCGCTGCACGGTTTGGAGCTCGTGAGCTCTAGATTTGAACTAATTTGCGGCCATCAGGAGCCGCTATCAATATGCGGGAGACTCCTGGAACTTCCGGGAGATTTGAAATATCTGTGAACGCATACCTCTCTGTCCAATCATCTTTGAAAACTCTATTTTCTTCGTCAACTTTTCCTTTCCTGGACAATGACATCCTCCACAGCCATTCAAACGCTTACGCTGGGAAGTGTCGCGTCACGGTCGCGCCCGATTACGTCAAAAGTCACACGCTCACTGGATGTCATGGCAACTAAATCACGGAGGAAAACTTTAAATATCTCGCCTTCGTTTTAATTTTGGACCATCATAAAAAATAAACAAATGATTTTAACATGCGTTTATCAAAATAGGAAATCCAGACTTTTAATCCCTTACACACAATTAGGGCTCTTGAAATACGAAATGGAGGCGAGTCCGGATTGAATTCCCTCCGGGTCCGGATCCGGACCGGGGTCCGGACTTTGAGAAGCACTGTTGTAAAGTGTTACCAAATACATGAAATACATTATGTCATTGTAAATGACACCCTAATGTCTTTTAAAACCTGTATGACTTGCTTTTTCTTGCTGTAGAATACAAAAGGAGAAGTTTAGCTGAACATTCATGTCAAGACTTTAGTAAATACTGTCTTAAGTTTCTTCACACAAAGCTATCAAATGGCATCAGGAAACTTGCTTTTATGGTGCGTTTTTGTCATTTTTGGACAGCCCCTTGTCCCAATCAACTTTCATTGTGTGGAAGAGAACGGCTGAAACCTGCTAAACGTCTCCTGTTTGGAATGTCATGAGAGTAAAGTAAATGATGACAGAACTTTGATTTTGGAGTCATAAATCCTTTTAACAACACTCATTTCCTTTCAGTGAGTAAAGTGGTGTGTCCTAATGAATGACTGTGACATCAGTGGTGCTGTTAGGCAAGCCACAATTCAAAACCGCAAACAAACGGTTAAGAAAGCGTCTGTACAGTTCCTCAGATTCTAATTAAAATCCAACTGTTGATTATATCAGGAACTAAGAAAGTCGATTTGGACCAGGTGAGTGGGTGAGATATTTAGGTCATTTGTTAAAACTGAATAATGTGTGTGGAAAAAAGATAATGTGAATGTGAGCCCATGTGTTAGAGCATATGCACATGTTAACACACTCACCGAAAAGAGAGAGAATCCCACAGGCAATCCACACCACCAGTGACATTCCCACACTGCCAGAGTTCTTCAGAATTCCCTTCGGAGAGATGAATATTCCAGCTCCAATGATCGTCCCAATGATCATACAGATTCCTCGGAGCAGGGTCACCTTCTTCCCCAGTTCCACCTTCTTCCCCAGTTTCACCTTCTCCTCGGGGGCTCCGGCATGGGGGTCTCCATTTGATTCGAGAGGGTCTTTCTCTCCAAAATTACTTGGAGTCGGATCCCCGTTGGGATGGGGAACTGACACAGTCCTTCTGGGCATCTTGTTCACTCACTCACAAACACATTGACTCTCTCACTCACAGTGTAGTGTGCCTCCCCTTGCCAGTAGTACATGAGAGGCCTGAGCAGAAGGTGTTCTCAAAGTAAAGCAAACTTCTGATACGCTGTGACGCAAGTCTAAACAAATGCAATGCAATGTGGCTTCTCCCTCCTCTTTTTTTCTCTCTCTCATCTGCCTTTTTAGTGTCTCAAACACTCCCCTTTTCTCTCATTTACTCTTTGTATTCCTTTTTTCATCTTATTCTGTAAATTACTACGTATTATGTGAGTAAAGAGGATATTACTTGTGGTTAGTGTAGCCCAGATTCATGATGCTTTAGCAGTAGTATCCGATTCTCACATTGCCTCACGTGACATGCAAATCGTACAAAGGCATCTGGCACTCACTATAAACACTTGCTGTTTTCTCTAGTTCTTTCAAAGGCCCTTGTTTCACTGCACTTGTTATAGACGTGTTCTGATTACCAAGTGAGCAGACGATAGACTGATAACAAACTCCTGTTTCTGGGATTGTGGACTGACTGTGTGATCTTTTTGTCATGCTTAATGTTGATATAGGTAATGAAGCGTAATGTAGGACAAACCACATGTTACTGTAGTTACTGTACGTGTGTGTGAGAGAGAGAGAGAGAGAGAGAGAGAGAGAGAGAGAGAGAGAGAGAGAGAGAGAGAGAGAGAGAGAGAGAGAGAGAGAGAGAGAGAGAGAGAGAGAGAGAGAGAGAGAGAGAGAGAGAGAGAGAGAGAGAGAGAGAGAGAGAGAGAGAGAGAGAGAGAGAGAGAGAGAGAGAGAGAGAGAGAGAGTGTGTGTGTGTTTTCAGACAAAGCAATTTCATTCAAGCCTGATACAGTGTTCTGTAAATAAGAATGAAGAAGGTGGGAGGCTGATGTGACATTGCATCAGATCAGCCTTGACACTCAATAGATTCAGTGTTGTAAATCCATCAACTTGTGATGATTTGCAAGTTTTTGCACCATAGCTGAATCAGCTGAAATATCTCACAAAAACTGTATATCTCACTTTTTGAATCATAATGACTGTGCAAAAATTAAAGTAGGTGTGGCTTCACTTTTGTAAATAATTATCTGTAATGTTATTCTTTTGTGAGTATGTTTCACTCTTTAAAAAAATAAAAACTTAATGATGCAGGAAAACCTTTTATGTTTTACAAAGAACTTTTAAAGTTGTTTAAAATAATACAAAAATAATGAATGTAAATTGCAGAATAAAACCGGTAATTGTATTCTAAAATAAAATTCTTATGCTCACCAAGATTGCACTTTTTTGATCAAAAATACAGTAAATACAGATATATTGTGAAAGTTTTTTTATTTAAATATACTTTAAACCGTGATGATAAAGATTAATTTTCAGCAGCAATTACTGGAGTCTTTAGTGTCACATGATCCTTCCTTTAATGCTCAAGAAACATTTCCTATTATAATCAGAAACAGTTGTCTTTTCTGTCACTTTTGAAAAAATAAAATTGTGTGTGTTTGTGTGTGTGCGCGCGCATGCGCGTGTGTGTGTGTGTGTTTTCCAAAAGTCCAAAATTAACTCTAGTTTTCCTCCCCTTGCCTGTGGCATAGCCTAGGGATGGGAATTGAAAACCAGTTCCACTCGAGAACCGGTTCTAAGTTTTACGATCCAACGATATTGTTATGAACACAAAATAAGATATTTTGGAGAATGTTAGTAACAGAAGAGTTCTGGTTATCAATGACTTCCACTGAGACATTCCTCAAAATGTATGTTCTACAGAAGAAAGAAAGTCATACAGGTTTGGGATGAGAGTCAGGAAACTAAGATTAGAAACGTACATCTTTAAATCGTTATTCATTGAAAATCTTGATGTAACGAGGTAAGTTGTTGTGGGAAGGAGGAGGCGGGAACCGGCGGACAATCAACACATTTAATAACATAAAATAAAACAAATACAAAATGAAAGTATAAGCCAGCAGCCCCTCGCGGACGACTGCTGGCCACACAAAACAGAAACAAAACACAACATAAAAGCCAGGCCTGGCCTCTCTCGATCTCCACTGTCGTCGCTCCTCTGTGAGAGATACGGGACCGTGCGTCTCACAGGTGTCGCTCATCAGCAATCACGCCGGCCTCGCGCCGCTCTCTCACAGCCCTCAGCCTCGTCCTGCTCGCCACACTTGTGATGCAGCAGTCTTTGCCGTATTTGAGACAAGCAGTGATGTCCAATTTATCAATGTTTTTTTGTATTATTATTATTTTAACATAAACTGAAGCACAATAATAATACAATAATATTAAATCGAACAACCCTGAGGCAAACATTACCTCTACACAGGGGGGTGAGTGAACCGATGTGTCCCGAGCGCACTTGACGCTGAATACAAGCATCGATTTCCTGAGGGCTCCGTGGAGGAGCGATTCTCGCTCGTCCCTCCACGGGGGGGATAGCCCTGCTGTTTTTGTCTCGTTTTCGACCCTGAAGCGGAGGACCGGCAGGGAAAAAACGAAAAACGATTTTTGATGTGCAGAAGGAACACTGCATGTGAAACACGGTCTGAGTGGTAGGCTGAATTAAAATATCTAACTTCCTTAAAGTCGGATAATATTTCATAATTTTAATTTCTTAAAATTAAATGCAGCCATAATTACCAGAGAATACTGTTTTGTGTTATATGATCTCGTAATACACGCTGCCTCGGCAAACGCGAGATTCGAGTCATTACAATATATTTGGCTTTCATCCCTCAAGAAGAAAGTCAATAGGTGCGAGGCTGAAACAGCCGACAGCGCACAGATATACGCGTCGAGATATTTCTCAATGACTGCCAGCACCCTCAGGAGCTGACTGTGAATGTCTCGCACCCAAACAGTATTATTATTTCACAGATCGCGTGTGTACCCTTCATTGCAGACCCGTACTCTACGCGCTGCCTCGGCAAACACGAGATTCGAGTCGTTCACAATATATTTGGTTTTCATCTCTCGAGAAGAAAATCAACGGGCGCGAGGCTGAAACACCCGAAAACGCACGGCTGTGCGCGTCGAGATATTTCTCAATGAACACAGCCAGCACCCTCAGGAGCTGACTGTTCATGCCTCGCACACACACAGAATCTTAATGCAAAGTAGACCCGTAATCTACGCGCTGCCTCGGCAAACGCGAGATCCGAGCCACTAGATTCTGTATTGCAATGTACGACCTTTAATCTACGCGCTGCCTCGACAACGCGAGATCAAGTCACAGAGTCTTTATTGCAGAGTAGACCCGTAATCAACGCGCTGCCTCGGCAAACGCGAGACCCGAGCCACTATAGATTCTGTATTGCAATGCAGACCTTTAATCTGCGCGCTGCCTCGACAACGCGAGATCCCATTCACAGAATCTTTATTGCAGAGTAGACCCGTAATCAACGCGCTGCCTCGGCAAACGCGAGATCCGAGCCACTATAGATTCTATATTGCAATTCTTATGGGACAAACAACACCAAATAAGACAGACAGTTTGACACAGAGCGCTTTAGCTGAAGAGCAAAAAAGCTATTGTTTGTATTTGCCAGCGTACCTTTGCATCTTCCGGTTATGCCGTCATCTACTACGTCATGACGCAGCACCAATCAGGATTGGACAGATTTCATTCATGCTTCAGATGCGTTACGCTAGGGGCGTTCCCAAAGTGTCATAACGATGACGCAGTTCGAGTTCCCTCGTAGGCAAGTGCAGTGAGTTTGCTTCTTTCTTCTCTGAGAAAATCAATAATATCAGAAAGGTGATCAGCTCATCCTTGAGTTGCTCTGGGGTCAGGCAGATCAGACCACAAAAGTAGTTACTATGTCTGTTTTCGAAGAAATTTAAGGCAAAATTTTGGAAGAAACCGTACAGCACCTTAAAACATCAACCTGCGCCCTTGACGCACTTCCCACATCTTTTTTCAAAAGTGTGTTAAACAGCTTAGAAGCAGATCTCCTAGAAGTGGTAAATACCTCACTTATCTCTGGGAGTTTTCCAAACTCCCTGAAAACTGCAGTTGTCAAGCCCCTCCTGAAAAAGAGGATAAGACCATCTTAAGCAACTATAGACCGATCTCAAATCTTCCTTTCATAGGCAAGATCATTGAAAAAGTTGTCTTCAATCAGGTGAACAAATTCTTAAGCTTGAATTGATACTTGGACAATTTTCAATCTGGTTTCCGATCGCATCACAGCACAGAGACAGCGCTCATAAAGATAATTAACGATATTTGCTTATACTGATTCAGGCAAATTATCAGTACTGGTACTACTCGACCTCAGTGCTGCATTTGACACTGTCGATCACGACATACTTCTTGACAGGCTTGAAAACTGGGTGGGGCTTTCTGGGATAGTCCTAAAATGGTTCAGGTCATACTTAGAAGGGAGAGGTTATTATGTGAGTATAGGAGACCATAAGTCTGAGTGGACATCCATGACATGCGGAGTCCCCCAAGGCTCAATTCTTGCGCCACTCCTGTTCAACCTGTATATGCTCCCAATGAGCCAAATAATGAGAAAGAACCAAATTGCTTACCACAGCTATGCAGACGACACACCCCAGGTAGCATGTAATCATTGAAACAATGTTGACTCAGTGTTGATGTGTCAATGCTAATTGCATTGAATTAACGTTACAAAGTAATGTTGCTTTAGTATCACTCTTGCACCCTCAGTTAATGTTGAAATAATGTTGGGAACTCAACCAAAAATCAATGGTAATAGTATTGATTCAACATTACAAAGTGATATTTTATCAACATCACTTTTGAACCCTCCGTTAATGTTGAAACTATGTTGAACAAAAAAATCAATGGTAATGCTATTGAATCAACATTACACTATAAATGATTCTACATCACTGATGCTGAATCAATATTGAAATTAACAAAAATAATCAATGGTAATATTGTTGAATCAACGTTACACTATGATTGATTCTACATCACTGATGCTGAATCAATATTGAAATTAACAAAAACAATCAATGGTAATATTGTTGAATAAACGTTACACTATGATGTTGATTCTAAATACATTTTGTTGAAACACTGAAAATACAACTGAAAAGGAATGTCAAACAATGTTGCCATCTGATGTACCAAGTTAATGTTGAAACAACATTAATATTTCAA